GCTTGAATTTTGGCTTTCACATGGATTCAAGGCAGAGATTCTGAAGAAAAGTCAGTCCGTATGTTTTGTAGTGAACTCTGAATCACCTTATCATAGTTGGTACTTAGTTTTTGGGATGATTTTCACATTATGTGCACTTTTCAAAGATATCTCAGTCTTATCCTGAATGGTTAAAGACAGGAAAATGTAAATCATTCACTAGTATGATGATCGAATACCCCTTCATTTCTGGTTACGTAGTTACGCTACAGTTATTCTATCAGATTCTCTATAAATTTAAGTCAAAGGTTCAAGAGGAATGGTAATTCACTAACTTGGACTAGATATTCAATTTCTCACTTTGCTATGATCCTAGCCTCCCCTTGCCTTTCTACTGCTCTTAATTCAGAATTAATTATTATCACTTCATTGCTGTTTTTAGCTCTCAGCTCATCGTTTCCACATCTATCAACTGGATACTCAGCTACCCTGCTTTCTCAAGTTCTGTAAGTTCAGTATAATTTTCGTCGCCTGGTAATTTTTACATAATCTCCAGAAACAACATTTTACTGTACATAATATATACTACTGACAGACAGGTGATTAAACCTCCATTTTACCACTGCTACTTAGTTCAACCAGTAGTATGCGTTTGCTGGTAATCTTAATGTTATCTGCACTTTCCGTCAAACGGATCACGAGTTACAATTTGAATATTTGAATTTCAAAATAACCCAGAGTGAAGTTTTTCAGTAAGGCTTAATCGAATTCTGTCATTCTTATTTGTTAGTGTGGATTTTACAAACAGCTAGTTTAAATGCAACTTTCTTTTAGTCTCAAAGGTTATCTCTCAGAAGCAGAATTTCATACTATAAATCATCAGCAAGATCAACATAGGACCAGGCACTACTGCGTCACGGTTCAAACAGCCATACCTTATATAAGCACCTCAAATAAAAAGGCAATGAAATGGAAGATGAAGAACGAGAGAAGAATTGGTCAAAAGAAGTAGAAAGTAATAAGAGAGAAAGAAGGAATGAGTAAGTGATGAGTTTAAGTACAGAGGTTAAGATGAGTATAATGTTTATATATATAGCTGCACCACTGAATTCGGTTCTGGGCTATATCACCTAGAGTCTCCAACCACCGATTTCTCTTTTCACGTGGACTCCAACCGACTAGCTGCATCGCCCTACATGCCTCAAACCAACAGCCAAGAACTTCACGCAGTAATGCCATGTTTCACTCTGACCGCTCCGAACCTTCTTCCAGCTTGAATCTACTTCGGCCAATATTGTGTGACGAGGCAGACGGTGGTCAGGCATATGTAACACACTTCCCAGCCATCTCAGTCGATGAAGGTTCACAACCGTGTCAACTGACTTACCTCTCCTCCCTAAAACTCTACACTTGACTTCTATATTACTGACAGTGAAACCATGACACACAACATATGCTATGAAGGTGGTCGAACACCGGAAGCCTTCTTATGTCCTCTACTTTAATGTCCACGTTTCACAGCCATACGGCAGAACAGAGAGGATTACAGCACAGTACACGCTACCTTTACAAGACAATCGGATATCTCAATGGCACCACAGATGGCGTAAGTTGGCAAAAGCTAACCGAGCATTTTGTATCCATGCAGATACTTCGTCCGTCACTGATCCATCAGGGCTGATCCGACTTCTCAAGCAAGTGAAGTGTTCCACGCACTCGACTACTTCACCCTCTATTATTAGTCAGGGTACCGTCGAAGACTAGTCCTGTAGCAACAATTTGCACTTGTGTGTTGAGAAACACATCTCAAACATTCTCAAATTGTCACTCAAGGTGTCCAGTAGACTATGCATCTTATCAGTGCCTACAGCTAACAGAACCTTATCACTTGCTTATTCTAGGTCTAACAAAGTTTTTCATGGTTAGGTCACTCCCTGTGTAGTCAGATGACAAAAAGGAGACCTCAAAAAGAAAGTCTATGGTGAAATCGAATAAGAATGGAAAGAATGGACATCCTGGATAGATACAGCTCAACCCGACATCTCACTATAGGCCCTGACACGCCGACAGGCATTTGAGTAAGCAGCATTCAGTAAGATGATGTTCTCATTCCGTAACCCAATCAGTGAGAGACATAACCATAAGATTTCTCGATCGACCGAGCCAAATATCACCTTCGGGTGGAGAAATACAGATATAGTTGGGTGTCGGTAAGCGTGTCTGGATTCCAGAACCTGGAGGAGAGTGAATGTTTGGTCGATACGTCCATGGCCAGGTCCGAAGCCCGCTTAGTTTCCTTAGACTTGTTCCAGAGCTTCACTTAGGTGTCTAATGATTATAAAACCTAGAATCTTAGACACTGTGTTAGTCAGGCTGATTCCTTATGGTTATCAGAAGAGGACTTCTCGTCTTACTTGAAGACTGGGATAATCAGTGGTTGAGACCAGTCATAAGGGATCATATTTGACTCTCATAGACTGGTTAAAACTGAGTTAACTAACAGCACTCCATCACTGTACTTATATACCTCAGGAACTAGTTCGTCTGGACCTGCTGCCCTTCGTCGTTTCAAGTTACCTACAGCTTTCTCGACTTCTGCTAGTGTTGGGGGCCTACCTCAATGTTTCATTCAAGATTCTTCTGGATAACGGGCAACGCAAAAGTAGCTGGAGGCCAGTTGAACTGTTCCTCGAAGTGTTCCGACCATCGTTCCAGTCTTCTTCCCTGCAAGTGAATCGCAGACCTATCTTTCTCCGTTACAGTCTTACTAACCGTTGACCTTTTAGCCCAACTTTCCTCAATAAGTCTAAATAATTTTCTACTGCTACCTATCGCCGCTGCCTTACCCATCTATTTAGCCTTTGATGCCTACCACTGTTCGTGGTTATTGCATAGACTTTTTCCCGTCCTCATTATACTCAGATCCTGCAGGGATGCGTTCGCGTGCATTCATTACTTCAGGAGAAGCTGCTGATATCCACTAGCTCTTTTTAGTCACTCTTTGAGAGTCAGATACAGTCTTCAAGGATGTTCTTAAAGCAGACTGCAGATGGCACCAAGCTTCTTTTGGATGAGTAATAGTGTACTGTTCCGATAACTGCCTCGCAAGTTTCTAACTGAAAGCGGCTTTGGTGTTTTCGTTGTCAAGCTGCATTCGCAGTGGTCTTGTCGCTAAATTTTCCCTAAGTTCATTGAAGCGCAGACATATATAGGCTCGAACCAACTGTTGGTCGCTATCCTAACACGTGCTCCATAAGGAGTGACAGTCTTCCACCGACCCATTCCAGCGATGACCGATAGCAATGTCGTCTATCTGCGTCCATCGCTGAGTTGAGCTCGATGGACGCCATGTCACACAGTGTCTTTCTTTGTCTGTAAATCATCACTAATGGTCGGTTAATCTGCTTATCATGAAGTACAGTTGTCTAATTTTCGGAAACCATTGAGCCGGGAAAGGAATTTTTAACTCTGAACTGTATCTTGTGTTTTTTTATTCATCAATGATTAACGAACAAGTTTTAATCAATTGTTAACAATGAAAACTGTTATCTCTGTGCTTTCCTTTTCAATATGCTATATGACTCATATTTCCCAAGGATTAATAACAATGACGAAAAATTTAATTAACAGTAACAGTGAATAGAAAAGTTAAAAGATAAAAAATGAGTTAATTTTATGCTGAACCCATAGTGATGTATCCCCTTTCTTTCAAATGACATCTTACAGGTACACGTACACATACACACCAGCAAGAACATACACGTCGATATTTTTTGATGGGTGTAAACAATCCCATATGTCTGATTATGCAGATAATTTATCAAGGTGTAAAATCTCAGAAAAAAGTTTTGCAAAAACAAAATCAAGACGTGACATGACAGTAGAGACGAAAGATAAAAGCGATGAAAATGTTCAGACTACAGGGTGCATGAAATGAATTTTATTCAGGTCTATTTGTATTTATTGACCATAGACTAGAAAAGCCTCCCTGTGTCCAGAAGCTGGTGCGAAGCAAGCAAATGGAGAGTGATCTGCTTCAATCATACCAGTCGTGTGCATAATTTCCAAGACTATAATTATCCTCCCTAATGGAAAAGACAGGACTCTAAGATCCACTGAAAGTTGGTTAACACCAAACTGTTGTTTCTTCTCAGTTAATGGTGGTCTTCCTCAGTATATATATATATATATATATATATATATATATATATATATATATATATATATATATATATATATATATATATATATATATAAGGGCAACATCGACGGAGCTCAGTGTGAGAATCAGCATTCCAATGGGACGCAGGAAGATAATAACACATTTAACTGGTGGAATAAGTTTGAAAAGCACCAAATGCTAGATTCTAACCCACTAGTTCATCAATGGTTACGAGTTGATACCAAGTCTTCATCCCTGAGCATTCCAAATTCTAGAAAGGATAACTTATCAAGGCATTATTGGCTTCCAGCAGTCTTTCACTTGTGTAATGCTATTTGGCCTAATGAGAATCTTCTCAGCCACTCAGTTGAGAATGGGATATGATCACCAAATGTAAACCGATAAAGTTGACAGTTCCTAAATGGTAATAGAAATCTATCTGATCAGTTTTTCATTGTAAATACAAAATGACATAACATAGCCTTGTGATGCACTCTATTTGATGGTGAATTTTTGTATTCAGTCTTTAAGGGGACGCCTGTATGCAGATTTTCTCGAACTTGCTGACAGTTATCAGTATGTTGTGTCGGTAATCCTGGAGGGAGATCCCTTCCCTCAGAGACTCCTGCTTGCATTACTCAGTACCAAGTCAATAATATAACCACAAAGTTCAATAATTATATGATAATCAGTATAGTTCTCAATTCCTAAATGTACCCCAATACTGTGTCACTTGACTTACTGACCGAATTATAACACTGATGAATAAAACCATGTTTAATGTATCAGTGACCAATTTGGGTGAATAAACATTGTTGAAAAAGTAACCTGATAAAATGTACGAACTAAATCAACTTACTCTACTTCAAAGTAATGGGGTGTAATCGAACCAAAACACCACTGAATAGTGATTGATGACAACGACAACAATAATTATGGCTGTTCAGCCGACAGCAATGGTGCTGTTGTCGTCGAGGAAGACACAGATGATCAGGATAACTGTTCACTTGTTTCAGTAACACTTCTAATCTATTCAGAAAAAAAGAGAAAAAGGAAGAGATCTTTTTAAAAAAAGTTCACGGTCAAACGCCTCGCTCCGGGATTTAAATTCTATTCTCCTACTCCGTTTATAGAGTTATAATTATAACCATTAGTCATAGAAATCTACTTCAAACAGCCATGACTACAAACGGAAGGAGAGAAATAAAATGTGAAAAGGCGGAGAGGTGACTCAATTTGTCATGTAGTAAATGCTCATTTGATTCACAATAACTGTAATCATCTTTTATGCAGCGTATGCATAAATAATTAAGGAGAGGAAAACGAATTTTTTTCCTGTTTTATATCCACATGATTTTTGGTAATGATTGTTCAAATATTCGATGAATTGTATTGTTGCTTGTATCCATCATTAGTACAAAATTGAAACGACAGGTAATATCGAGGCGTCCGCATCCACCAATAGAGACTGACCAGTTGGGTCCAGTCAACGACTGGATAATACAAAGCAACAACATAAAAACTATACTAGTCGCACAAGAAGTACCTTCTCATGACTCGGTGGTCTAGTGGATAACGCTCTGATGTTCGAAGTGATCGGTTCCGGGTCTGATTCTTAGTGGGAACAACATCAACTGAAAGGCAAGTACATCCAGCTGATGAGCGCGAAGCAGGACAAAACGTGCGTTCTGGATTCCACTGCCAGCCACTATCCATCATTTTTGCAAAACCTGGCGAATTGTCTTACTAAGTCTTTTAGTTGTTATGTATAAACTCTTGGTATTTTTGTAAGTTTTCATGCAAAAAATGTCTGTGCATTTTAATGAATCAAACTAAATAACTGAGAACTGATCAGGAGGAGGGAAATCTTAGGCAATAAATTTGTTTCATAATCTGATTGTTTGAATGAAATTGTTACAGTAATACAATTTAAGATTGATTGTATAACGAGATAGATTACAAGTAGTTCTGTTTATTGATGAAACACCTCCCACACCTTAGAGTTAATTAAATACAGAGGTAAAAACATTTATTCTAGATATGTGTATAGTCGCTATGGTCACAGCCCACCAAACCACATACTGAAAAAGACAAACTGTCAAAAAGTTTAACATAAGTGGTAAAAGTCTGAAAAAAAGTACAACTGAACAGGTCATAAATTTGCAGTCCAAAACATTGCTGAATCAATGCTTAACTGAGTAGAGAGTTACTTCTCGTACAAATAGTTCCTGGAAGTCCTTATAAGAAGGCCTGAGTGATGTTTCAAATCATATGAGCAGACAAAAAAAGCAATCACCGATGACATTTGGAGACAATCATGGTGTGACAGGACTCGTCGATGATAGAAATTCTTACCCACTGGTTAATCTTTACGACTTGAAGGGACTGCTTTCAGCAGACGATGTATGTACGTTACTGCTGAACTTTATGTATCAAGAAAACAACCACAAAATATCTTCTAGCTTCTGAAACCTTGCGATCATTTCATTACACGAAAGAAGTGTCCTTAAAGTAGTTTAGTTATATGAATGAATGTGAAAATTTCCAACACTTCCCCCATTCGTAAATCAATTGTTTAGTTCGAAAATACTGATTAACTTCTCCAGCTGTTTAAATTCAACCTAGAACATATGTTTATTTCATTGCGAAAAAAATGTATTGATGTAACGGTGAAATTTTTAGTACCATGGTTCTGCGTACAAAATATTCGGTTAAAATCTCACACCAATAAGTGAAAGAGGGGGGCGGGAGAATCAGAGTCATATTTCTAACTTCGTTTGGCCTCCACTCACTGAAATATGGATCGGATATATCATTCACTTGCCAGTCTGATTAAGCGCCCAGTTTATGAAAGGTTAACACGGTTAAGAACGAATTTTCCTTATGTTTCAATTACGGCTTGTTGGAATCATACTGAATTAACTCCTCAGGTATTCTACTATATAATATGAATAATTGAACTGGCGACTCAATCATTCATTGACAATGAAGTGAATAATAGATGCCTAATTTAGACCACTTAAGTAGGTAGTGAAATTAAATCACACATTTGCACACAAAATAAAACTCTCAGAGGTGATCGGACATAATGATGTCAAACTCAAGTGGGAAATTTTATCGTTTTTAAAAAAATATCAAAATATTAGGACCACTCGGCATTGTAAGTGGTGTCAAGATGGCATACATAACATTTGTGCACTGTATTCAAATAAAAAGTATTGTAAAAGTGAAGAGCAGTTTCCAGTAGCCTGAATGCAACAAAAGTATGCTGGTAAACGCTTGGACGACGTACAGGTCATTCAAAAATCTCAATGTTCTTTCACAATATAACAAGTTCATATAGATTAGTTAACTGTACTCATACTGTTTCATCAGCTGTCTTTATTGCAAAGCTGTTAGATATAACAGTTAAAAGTAGCAAAATGAGGAAATTGGAGTTTTGCCATATGTATCTTTTAGTATTAGTAGTGTACATATTAGGTGCAGAGTACCTGATAAAAGCAAGTAAGTTAGTTGAGGACACTTTGTTGAATGTATGCCAACTGAGGCGATATTGACACGTGTGATGAATCCCAGAAAGCACACACTATAAGCCTCCAACCATCGATTCCTATTATCTTGAGGATCTTAGCCAGCCAGGAAGACAGCCTACAACCACCAACCCTGCTCACATCCAAAGTCAGAGACTTTATGGACTAATCCCACACCTCCGTTTGGATATCTTTAACTTTTCCCAGTCTGATCCCACTTCAGCTTACTTACACGTTCAGATTCACTTGTTACAGCGCTATTACTTGCAGTTTTATAGTATGACCCATCAAACCAAGTTAAGGCGAGGTTTTTCTGTACCTTAGTGTTAACTTCATATACAACATCATTTTCACCTCCACCCCCACCCCCAGTGTATGGTGCCTTCTGCATAAAAGAAAGATATTCTTGTTTTCTTAAAACTTTATATTCGCAGTTACGATTTTCAATCTAAAAACAGGAATAAGTGTATGCGTTCCTTTGTATCACACAGTATATTTACATGCAAGTATTCATTTACAGTGTACACCGAAAATGACAAATATTTTCTCATGAACAGTAAAGAAATCATATTCATCACACATACTTTCCTGGAACATTATACCAATGTCTTGAATGCCAAATGTCCGTGCATATATACACAATATGTATCACTCTCAATATCATTCCTTTAGTCTCTGCTACTAATCCATCACCTTTTTGATAATATCGAACTACTAAGAACGACCGCGTAAAGTTTTTTTACACCTTTTATCATACATACACAAACATAATACAGTCAAGGAGACATTTGAAATGATAAATAACGTGTTTAACAACATCCTACACGAGACTAAAAAGAGACTCATAAACTATTTCTTGTCCATTTTTCAGATCATGTATCATTTTCTGTTAAATTTCTTGACAGTTGATTCTATCCTACTCTTCATTATCATCACAGCCAACCATCCCTTCCCAATTTCTGTCAGTGTGAAATTTCGTTTAATACTAACTCGCAGTTAAAATTATGCATCAGTTAAACAGATATGCAAAGGCTTTTCTAATGCTGTTGTACAAATGTTTTGGCTGTCTAAAACAAAAAAACTTAGTAAGTGGAGTTTTAAAAAGTCTAGAAATTAACATGTAATTGATGAGCTGATCAGCACTTGTCTCGAGTAGACGAGTGTCAAATTATACAAAATCCTGGTGAACAGATTTTCCGACAAGAACACGCATGATCAATGTGAACACTGAATTAACTATTATGTAGTTTTTAGCATAATTGTTTTTATACCATCCCGTCGTTGATTGGACCGAATTAATCGGTCTCTATTGGCATATGGGTGTAATGGATTACGCTCTGACGTTTGAAGCGATCACTCCCGAGTCCGAATCCCGGTGGGAAAACATCACTCACCGGGAAGCAGGTATATCCAGCGCCGAGTCCCAAATAGGACGAAATGCGCATCCTGAATTCCACTGCTACCCACTGTCCACCATTACTATTATGTAGTTTCATACTACTTACTAGTAGCTTGCGATTGAGCTGCTGCAGAATATGCAGCTCTGAATCAACAAGAATATGATTTTTTAAAATAATTTACAAACTATTCACTACTAGTTATTAATATACTTGTAATTCTCCGTTATGGTAATTGCCATAATTAACACCCATGCAATATCAAGGCATCCTCGTAGGAGCCCATATGCCAATATAGGTCGAACAATTCGACCCAATAGATAGTAATAACTGCTGCCCGTCGTACAAGAAAAGGCCATCGTTCCTCCATGACATAATGGACAACGCCTAGGCGCTTGAAGCAATGAGTACGAGGTTTGAGTCTTAGTGGGAACAACATCACTCACTGGGGTGTGGGTACATCCAGCTGGTGAGTCCCAAATAGGACGAAACGCGTGTCCTGGATTACTCTGCTAGCCACAACCAACCAAATTACTATTTACTACTAGATAAAATACAACTACTCAAGTGATAAATAGTAATTAGGAATTTTGTGATGTTCGAATTCTATTGTACCTCTGTAAAAGTTCACTACCTCACCGCCTTTTAAAAGTGAACGAACATCGACTGTTCTAAACGTAGCTAGAATTCCTACCATGACAAGAGACTTTTATCTTCGCGCTATATATGAGGCTGGATATCTTATGCTGGTTGGAAAGTATCAAAGCATACTTTCACAGTTAACAGGATTCAATACATCTTTGTAGAATCTCTTACATTTACCGAAACAATTCACAGTGGTGACTAAGATTGCCTGCCTGCCCGTTGTTTACCTGATGGTAGTTTACAAAACGAACAATAGCAAAATCCATCATTTCACTTCTTTAGTTAGTCTGACAGCAGTGAGTCATTCAATTAACCACTTGATCAACTTTGTTCAAAATATAGCGATTACTATCCATATGGAAATGCTGCATTCATCCTTTGGTCAAATTCCACAGCCTACTACTAATTAAACCACATGGCTTAGATTTGTATCCTTTACAAAAAAGTATGGTTAGCA